TTTCGTTAAACGAGGGGTCACTGTACTTGTAATTGTTAAGTACTATAATGAGGTAAGTCTTTGTAAGGGGCTGATTTCAGTTGACCCTACCGAAACCTCCGCTACAACTATCATCTAGCGTCCTGGAAGACACGTAGTAATTGTCAAGGTATATTTTTGTAAAAAGTGAGTCTTCAAACCGAAAAATACGGTAAGCAATACACCTTTGACCCACTAGCTATACACCTCCCGGTATATTTAAAGCTCCATGGCTGCTAGAAACTTAAATTAAACAAATATTAAATGTAAATTAAATGAAACACAGGTTGTGTAAATGATGCAGGTTTATTAATTACTGGGGGCTGTCTGTTTCATCTTGGACTTGTAGTGTTGCAGGGGGGCACCTCTGGGGTACTTGTTGAGGCCACAGGCTTACTGCCCTGACACACATTCTTCTTGGGTAACTTTTTAAATGTATCATCTAGACAAACTTGTTTCATGTGCTTTGATCTTTCCCTTTGCAGTTTTTCATGTAACAAATATTCGTTAGTTCTTGTTCTGTCACGAAGGAACGTTGCTCTAACTCTTTGATAAACTGATCCGACAACTCAATTAACCTGTCAATAGAGACTTTCAGCTTCATCCGTTTCCTCTTCATTACCTTCATTGTTTTTTTCAGGATTCAGATCAATATCTACAATTTCAGAGTCAGAATAGTGATGAACAACCTGTACATCTTCGTCTACACTCATCCTCTCTGTCAGATTTTCTTCACTGAGCTGACTTCCTACCTCGTTGGCCACAGATCCTGTAATACCTCTTGCATACTCTAGCAAGTCTTGAACAACTCCCTTCTCTTTTGAGACACAAAACCCTGTAAGTCATTGTCTTCACTTTCCTCAAGGGGATTTTCAAATATCATGGCAGGCCACAACTTATGCCAGCCTTTTATTAGTGTTGATGCTTCTATCTTGTCCCAGGCACTTGCAATAAACCATAGTGCATCTTTCATGTTAAAATCTTTAATAAAGGTCTCTACAGGCTTGCCAGCATTTACCACATCTAACATACGTTTCATAAACAGTGAACGATACTTGGCCTTCAGAGAGAGCAGTATTCCTTGGTCTTTGGGCTGGATCAGTGATGTTCAGTTTGGAGGAAAATACACTGTTCTTACACATGAGTTCAGATTTGGTGTGAGCTGAACAGTTGTCCAGAATAAAAAGTATTTTGCAATCATCTGGTTGTCCAACAGATTTGCAGTGTACTCTGGCTTCTGGCACAAAATACTTTCCAAACCACTCTTAAGGTAAGCACGGTGGTAATCCAGCCTTTTTTTATTGCCACAGTATGTCACTTGGTAAATTTTAACACCTTTCAAGGCTCTAGGACATTTACTTTTACCTATAACCAGTGGCTTACATCTGTGTGTGCATGCTGCATTTGAGCACCCTAGGATGGTAACTCGATCCTTAGACTGCTCGAATCCTGTGGGCTCTTCCTCATCCTCCGTTAATGTTTTTCGGGGTGTACATCGCCGATACAATGCAGTTTCATCTGCATTATACACCTGCTTGGCAGCTCCTTCCTTGTTTGCAGACCGTTTTTCACCACAAACCTCGCACATTGCAATTCCATGACACCTCTTAAACCTTTGAAGCCGTCCTTCACTATAGCCAGTTATGTTCTAAGTTAAGTTCTTCATGGACACCTTTGCCTGTTCCATTATCATGCTACCTGACAATTCCTTTCCTTCAGTTCAATGTTGTCAAACCCATTCCATCATCACTCTATCATGTTCAGTACTCTTACCGTCTTTCAATGTTTTTCTAATGGTCATTTGCTTCTTGGAATCACTTTATGCATAGAATCTCATTACATTTTCTCTGCTTCTTTATATCATACACAGTTGACGAACCAATGCCATACTGATGACTAAGGCCCGGATGTTTAGGCACTAAAAAACTTCAAAATAGGCAGGCAAAAAGGCAAAATAAAGTGGCAAAATTGGCATTTATTCCCAGAGCAATTATAGAAATAAAACTAGAAATATAACTAAGTACATAAAAGTTCCATAAATAATTCTTCCTTAAAGTAGACTAGCTTGGGATTTGCTGTTTTGTGTATTTTTCCAAGAATAACTTCAGAGACTTGTTCTCCAGCTTCCACAACGGAATACAGTACCAGCATCAACAAAGGCTTTACACAGATCTAATGAAAAGGTAGACTTGCGGCTGGAGGATGCACTGAATGTGGTCAGCAGACTCGTTTGCTGGCTTCCTGGTTTCGTTTTCTGAGCAGCAGTTTCATGTTTAGCGGTCTGCACATGCTGTGGAACGAAGTACTTTTTCTCGAAATTCACTGCTTTTTCACAGACTTTGCAAAATAGCACTGATCCATCAGTGGAAGAAATGTCACATCCAAACTCCTGAACAAGATCATTCAGCTTCTTGCCAGATGGTGCACTAACTTTGGTCATTTTTATTTTTTTAGAGCGCTGCCCTCAGAAGTCAGGTCTGCTGTTAGCCTAGTACTGTACTGAGGCAGTGCGTCGTCTCATGCCTACAAAAGCAGTGTTGCCAAGTTTTATGGGTGTGGTTTGCTAAGTTTTATGGTGTACCGAAACTTTAATTTCGTGTTTGGAGTGTTACTTTGTGGAAATATGTGCAAAAAACACAATAGGCTATTATTTAGTAGAATAGCCATTATCACACGCAATTCCCTAAAAAAGGCATTTTATGGCATTTAGCCTAAACATCCGGGCTCTACTGATGACACACCTGTCACACCGAAACACCACGGTCAAGTTTTCTCCAGAGTTCCACCTTATCTTGTATCGATATGGACTGGAGTTTTTGCTTTACACTACCATTGACACTTGTACTTGCCTTTGAAGCCGTAGCTGGGGTTAAATATATCGAAAATAAGCTGAGAATTACACAAAATCGAGGGGCTACCACCAGCAACTGCAGAGTAAACAAAGTGCGCACAGTTAACACGTAACTCCATCTCTGGGCGGCCCAGTAAACTAATCTAGATGTCGCAGGAATTTTGTTGGGATTAAAAGAGGTGCCGGAAAATTGGTGGTGTACTTGTACCTTGTATGTACTTTTTCTGTGAGTTGGAACCAATTATCCAATATCCCATTGAAATAATAGTTTCAATTAACGACTGACTCTGTGGAGCCAATTGTGCACGTTGATGGAGGGACCACTGTACCGTAAATAAAATATATAATAAAAAATTAAATAATAATAATAATACAGTAATAATAAAGAACCATAAAGAATTTCTTTTTTTTTAAAGATCAAAAGTGAGAAATGATGTGTGTGTGTTGTGTTGTCAATAGTAACAGAAAATTTGAGACCCTACAATTGTGTGTAAATGTGGCAGAAAGTCAGATCATTAACCTGGGACTTGGTCACAATTTTCGTGATGCCATATGGCAGCAGGGTCTACCATTAGACAATACATTATGCTTCCAATATCTTCCCAGGCGGTAGTACCTCCCTGTTTGGTAGCTGCCTATCTACATATTGTATTTGGTTCCAGTTTTCCACGCATGGGGATGGATTAGGGAAACCTTACCAGGTCATTTAAGGGCCAGTACCTATTATGTAACCTACACCACCTAACCCCATCCCAGTATGGGTTATTATTGGAAAATGCATTTTAAAATTACTAATTTGACAAGACATTCTTTATGCGATGGCTGGTTTCATTTCCTTGGCCCTGAACTTCGCTTACAACTTCCAACAGTGGAATGAGAAGAGTTGCAGGGTACATGTGGCTACATGCACATTTGTTCCATCATTCATTTGTATTATGAACAAACAGTGCAGGGGTTCCACAGATTCTGTATTGGTGAGTTAACTACAACTACTATACAATGACATAGTGGCAGAAGTTTTTATCCAAGGCCTACCACCTGCAATGCAGTGGTTCTAGTGGATACAGTGCTTTCCTGTTCCAAGGGTCAATGGTTAGAATGCCAGGCACTCCCAGTTTACCCAGCTGTGTAACGGGCCGAGTTTTCTCTTTTCAACAATTTACCATCCAGCTACTGTTTTCTGTTAGTATTCTATTTACTCATATACTTATTTGTTCTGTGTAGCATTCCTCCAATGAGTACCCTGTTTAATATACTTATTCTCCTTCCATTCTTTACATATATATTTATTCTTATATGTTCTTACTTATATTCTTATATGTTCTTTACCTCTATATACCTTATATTCTCATATATTCTTATATAAGTAACTCTTATGCTTCTCTACTTATGTTTTCCAAGTCAAGGTTCTTCCTTTTCATTTCCTTTCATATAGATTGTATTCTCAGTTTCAATGTTCTTACCTTTCTGAAGTATACTTTGTTTTAGGTCTTTCTTATACATGGGTTAGTCTGGGGAACCATGTTATTCTTTGTATAACACTTTTTATACTTACAAGGGGTAGCTGCCACCACCCAGACTTTTCATTATATAACAGAACTCATGGAAGGGTTTTGGGTAGTGTGGTAGATGTATAGGCACGTGAGTAAGTATTATTTTCTGGGAACCAATGTTTAGAAGGAGTAGAGTGGTGATACTCAGATTACTAACTCAATATTTATTAATACAGTGAGTGGAGAAGATGCATCTTAGATTCACTCAGGCTAAACAGAACCGAAATTAACTTATTAAGTCATCAAACACTTCAAGAACTTATTACCTCGTTAAACACCTCTAAATATTCATTACTGTATTGGACACTGTTGTAGTATTTCTGGGACAAGTAAGATTTAGAAATGCTTACACACTGTCAATGACCCTGGACCCGCAGGTCTTACTTTAACAAGGAACAAATTATCTTCTCAATTCGTGGTTAGAACCTCATACTCTCAGGTTATTCTTTCATGGGTACTACAGATGAATACATAACACACTGGGCAATTCCACAATTAGTAACATACCATAATTCTTATCACTTCACAAGGAACCACCTGGTACCTTGACCTCTCATTCAGGGGTTCAATACTTAACCTGGGATGACTATATTTCTGCTAGTCATCCCCAAGCATGGATATTAATACGGCTCCATACATATAACCAAGAACAGTAGGTAGACCATGATATATGACCGAGTCAGTGGGCCAGAGTTGTTTACAGCGACCGCCAAGCTGAAGGCTCGCTCGCTAGGTGCACTCAGGGAGGTTGACTCGTTACACACTGGCAGAGTAGTGAGGGCGCTTCCCGGGGGAATCGTGTCCTGGGATTCTAAATGCGCCCCCTTAGAGACAGTCTTCAAGAACCATCTTGCCCATAGGTAGCTATCGACCCTCAGGAGAATTGCTAACACATCCGCGTCTGTAGACGTGGAAGAAGAGTCACGAATGCGTGAATATTTAACTTCACTATACAAAACATACGTCTGGCACCGGTTCAGACGATAGCTAGAGCTCTACTTTACTTGACTTAATTGGCACTGAAGGTACTGTTGAAACATGAACACTGATATTCGCAAAAATGACTAAGTTAAACTGAGTTAATATGGCGGCGTGGAACACACGTGAACATACCTGTAGACGTGGAAGAAGAGTCACGAATGCGTGATTCTCCCTCGTGTAGAGGTATATAAGTGCCCCCGCTGGGCAGCTTGGGCCTCCATATTCATGCCAGAAAGGTCAATCTTACCAACAACATACCTTCTCTACCATGTTGGATCACCGTATATTTAATTATGAACTCCGGTGTTCCGGATCAGGGTAATTTCCTATGTCTATTCATATAATCTAATCAGAGGTTGAGCTTGCCAGGAAAAGGTGGAATATACACGTTGATAACAACAATTCTGCAAGCTCAGGCCTGCAGCGAACAAGGAACTATTCACAGGGAGACGTTAGATCTTGGAGATTATACCAGTTGACAGAATAGTTCAGGAAATTAATGACTTTCTTAAATAGATAACTGACACTAATTAACTATAAACATCAGATTCTCTGATGTCGGGGCGACAAAATGATCTTCACTTGCCATTCATGCAGTATTACCCATTCAGTGTGGCCATGCCTCTGGCAATTGTCAAATGAAATTCAGACTAAAGAGAATTAAGAGTCAAGTACTGTACTCAATAAATTTTTTTTTTTAGTTTATATTGTACCTCATAATAAAATGAATGCTGTTTAAGGGCATGCTGTACACAGTAATATATTACATTAGATATGAAATTAAAATATATGAAAGCACAAGTGGAACAACCTGACATAGTTTTAGAGTCCAGGTCTGAATAATGGTGCTTTATGGAGAAGGGTAGGTGAGGTATAAGAAAATAAGAGTTTGCAATAGGCCGGTTAGCCTGTGCATGCCAGCAACTGTCAAGAGTTACAACCATTCTATCGTCCATGAATCTATCTAGCCTCCTTTTAAAACTTTCCAGTGTCCCAGCACTTACTACAAAGTTGCTAAACTTGTTCCACTCATTTACCACCCTATTTGTGAACTAGTTTCTTCCTATCCCTCCTAAACCTAAACTTATCCAACTTAAATCCGTTGCTATGAGTCCTATCCTGCTCGGATATTATAAGAACTTTATACTGTACAGTATCTTCTTTATTGACTTCTTTCACCCACTTAAATACTTCTATCATATCTCCCCACACTCTTCGTATTTCTAGTGAATGCAGGTTTAGTTTCTTTGAGATATCGTGATAGGGAAGGTTTCAAAGTCCCAAAATCATTTTTGCCATTTTTCGCTGCACCGGCTCCAGTAAATTAATCGAGGTGCGACCTTACTAGCACAAGAAATACAGTAATTGCAATACAGTGAGTTCTGCTATAACGCGTGTTTTGATAACGCGAATTTGCTCTAACGCGATTTATGAATTAGGAACGATATTTGTATAACGCGAACGCTTGTTTGCTATAACGCGATTTTTGCTTACTATTTCTCCAATTTTGTGGTACAGTTGGGTATGCTATAACGAATCTAATTGGTTCTAGAACCTTGTTCGTTATACCATTCGTTCGTTATGGGATTAATCCGTTCCAGGCCCCTAAATACAACCACTTAACACTGAAAAATATAATATAAAATTATAAAAATTGTAAAAAAGTGCATAAATATGCATCTAAACCCCTGAAATAAAGAATATCATTAATATTTGTAATAAAAAAACAATAAATTGAAAAAAAAAAAAAATAAAAAAAAAATAAATAAATAATGTTCGTTGTAGGAGTTTCGTTCGTTATAGCATTCTCAATTTTATAGGTAAAACCGTTCGTTATAGGAATATTCGTAGTAGGATCCGTTCGTTATAGCATACCCCACTGTATTAACTGTGAATATAGTAAAGAAGAATATCAACAAGAAGCGTTCTGGTGATAGAATTCCCGGTGATGATCGTAAAAGAAAGGATATAACACTTGAAGAGAAGCTCGATTTTATCAACCTCAAAATCACCCTTCTCCCCCATCAAGTAAAGTGTTACATTTACTGTATGATTTCATTATTAGATATGAATGTAACATTTATTTAGACTGTGCTATCCTTTGTGTTAGGCTAACTACTAAATTTTTTCGATTTCAAGTAATCTGCACCTAACCCTATTTTCTCCATAAGCCCTGTTATTTCTATTACGCGATTTTCTATAACACGATATTTTACAAGAACACAATTATCGCGTTATAGCAGAACTACCTGTATGACCTCTGCACTCTTATTATTTACACTAATGGATATAAAACCTAATACTCTGTTTAACCTTATTTCGAATATTAAGACACTGTTTTCTAGGCCGAAGGTCCGGGCTTCAAGTACCCCTAAGTCTCTTTCACAAGTCGACTTCTCTTGGTTGAAGTTGTTAAGGCTGTACATTATACATTAACAGTACTTGTTCTTCCAATAATAAGTACGCTGCACTTGCTGGTGTTGAATTTCATTTGCCATTTTTCTAACCACTCCTGCAGTTTATTTAAATCCTCCTGTCGTGCAATTGTGGCTCTTGGATCACTCAACGACTGCCCCGGATTCAGTAGATACCCAGCAGGGATCAATATATGAAACGATGGCACCGATTCGGCATGATTAATCTGCTCCACTCCCTCGTGGAGCCAGACCCCAGACTCACCATGTGTCTGGCTACCACCGATCACAGCAACAGTCATGAGGCCCACTGTTCTACCCTGGGACGCTTCCTGGAAGTTATATGTCCACAGTGTGTTGTAATTTGTATGTTGGGGATAATTAGCAGGAAATAATTATCCCATGTTGGGTAGTGGACCCATGTATCTGCTGGTTTCAGTATTAACGTGTATGTTGTGAGTGCATCTCATCTGCACTACTAACAGTCAGTAAGTTGTGTAAAATACCTTGTAATGTGTGAGAAGTAAAGTTGTCCACTTGGGACTAGGAGTAAAGTCTTGTAACTGTAATGAGATGTACCACTAGAAGATGTGGGTGAAGTAGAAGTACCCACTTGGAGTGGCAGCAAAGTAATCTACAAGGAGTTGCCATGTACTATGTATTGTGAGTAGGGCCAAGGAACCGGTCCTGCTAGGTAATGTAATGTTGTATGCAGTAAGAGTGTAATATCTAAGTAATTGCTGTTGAGTAGAAATAAGAAATACTGAGTTTGCAATAAGCCCAGGAGTTACATCTTGAAGTTATATGTTAATAATATCTCTTTTTCCCTTTGATTCCATATTAATAAACCTGTTCTTAGAGTATTTTAGGAGTATTCATTTCTCCCACAGTACAGTCGGCCCTTAACATACGCGGGTTTATAATACACGGATTTGCAAATACGCGGATTGCCCCGCTGGAGGAATATTCTGTACATTGAAGTAATTAAAGTACATTCAAATCGCGCACCATTCAACTCGCGCGCGGCACCGAACACGGGACACCGCACGCTCCCGCAACCTCACACACACACACGCATAGCTCTCCCTCACTCAGTCAGTCTCGCTGTAACCATGCTTGTGTTGACATCAGCTTTGTAGTTGCAAAAATATTACATTTCCGTGAATGTATTATATCAAGCACAGTATGAATAGAATATCACTAATATAAGAGTATTTTAACCGAAAACTACTAAAAAAACGAGTACCATATCTTGAACATCGGAAGGCTAGGTAAAGTCTTTTGTTTTCATGTAGTTTATCCTAATTTACATTGAAATGCATTACGTTTCAGCAAAACTACTATTTATTTCTGAGAATATGGAAATGTATATATTTTGCTGAAATGACGTACGTATTACAGTGGAAAGTGACCAAAGCAATGACTCGCCTTCTTTCGTTCAAAAGATGTTACCGTAATCGCTTTTCGAATGGTTTTCAGTTAAAAAACTGTTGTATTACAATAATATTCTATCCTAATTCACTTGTGATGCAACAGTTTTTTTAACTGAAAACCATTCGAAAAGCGATTACGGTAACATCTTTTGAACGAAAGAAAGTGAAAGTCATTGTTTTCGTCACTTTCCACTGTAATACATACGTCATTTCACCAAAAATATTACATTTCCGTGAATGTAGTATATCAAGCACAGTATGAATATAATATCATTGTAATATAACAGTATTTTAACCGAAAACTATTAAAAAAACGAGTAACATCTCTTGAACATTGGAAGGTTAGGTAAAGTCTTTTGTTTTCGTCATGTATTTTATCCTATTTTACATTGAAAATACATCACGTTTCAGCAAAACTACTATTTATTTCTGAGAATATATTCATTCAGGCACAGTTTAGGTAAAATATACATGTGCTGTGACATTTTTTTAATTGAAAACGATTCGAAAAACACGTACCCTCTTGCCCTGTTCAAGGAGAAGACTGGGAGGAGCTGTTTGGTGCTTAAGACAATGACAAGGAAAATGATTTTGATGGATTTTAATGAAAATATTCAGAAAGACCCTGGCACTGTCAAGGAAAGTGGCTGCTGAAGGCTTCCGGGACATGGCAGAGGACGAGATTAGGGAGCTAATTGAAGAGCACGACACTGAGCTGATCGAGGAGGATCTACAGGAGTTAGTAGACTCAGGCAAGGAAGAGGAAGCGAAAGGGAAAGAGGATGAGGAAGAGCACCAAGAAATAATGTTGGGGGAGATGACCAGGAATATTGAGGCGTGCCCTGAAATTCATGCGAGGGATGGATGACGTTTTCGCTCCATACAAAAACATCATGGAAGTAATGAAAGAAAGAGACAACAACTCCCCCATCACCATGTTCTTTGATCACCGAAGGAGAGATTTAACACCATCAATCACTGGCGGCAGTGAGGAAGCAGCTGAATCCACCGTCGCCCCCACTTCACCACCCGTTATGGAATTGAGTGACGATGAGCCCGATGACCCCCGTCCTGTCGCCGAGGATAGGTACTGTACAGTAAAGTGAAATTTTTATCTCTTTTTTTTTTTAATAGCTTTTCTTGCCATGTTTATTGTTTGTAAAAATGCACAGTACAGTACAGTTCAGTACTGTACATAGGAAGTGGAGGTGCAGTTATTCACAAAACATTTGTGTTCGTTGTCGGCAGTAGTGACGGGGAGGAGGTGGAGGAGGCGGAGGAGGGAGCGAGTTGGGAGGACTGGTGACCTTGGACGCGAGAGCAGGGACGAGTGGAGATGCCAGCCAGTACATTACGGGTGTATTAATTGTTTTTATAGCTATTTTTGCATTTTAATATTAAATACTGTACATTACGTTTCAACAAAACTACCATTTATTTCTGAGAACATGGAAATGTAATATTTTTGCTGAAATGATGTACGTATTACAGTGGAAGTGGGATAAAATTGTGACGAAAGCAATGACTTTCTCTTTCTTTCGTTCAAAAGATGTTACCGTAATCGCTTTTCGAATGGTTTTCAATTGTGGGATTATAAGGCTAATGATAGGATAGAATATTATTGTAATACAGTACGAGTACATCAGTTTTTTAACTGGAAACCATTCGAAAAAAAATTTCGGTAAAATCTTTTGAATAACGAAAGAAAGCGAAAGTCATTGTTTTCGTCTTTCCACTGTAATATGTACTTCATTCCAGCAAAAATATTATATT